CTGTAAAGCATGTCAATGGGACTGTGAAAGATAAAGAACAAAAACTTATAAAAATTCATGAATATTAGAGATGAAGTTCATCTATATAATATACCTGTAATATCCCAAATTTTCGGGAATATTTAAGTGTAAGTTAAGGACTTGATTGTGAGAAAATATTGTTTTGGGCCTAATAGCCAACATTCCCAAACTCGAGGGACTTAAAAGAGGAAAGATTTTGGATAAGGATGACTTCTTTTCTTTTCTCCTTTTTCTTTCTTTCTTTTCTTCTTCTTCCCCGCGTGTTCTGCTCTGTCTTCCCGCTGCAGCCGCCCGAAGAAAAAAAAGAGAAACCCAGCCATGCCTTGAAAAACCGGTAAAGCTTGATGATTTTCCCTTATTTTCTTGTCCAAGAACCTGATTTGGAACCCAGAAATTCTCCCCCCTGCAGGAAGCTTCCGGATCTGCTCTGTCCTTCCTCCCCTGTCCGTCGGCTGCTCTTGCTTGTGGGGTGTGATTTGCTCCGGTTTTGGGTAAGAAACAGCTACCAATCCCTCTGTTCTTGCTTGAATTGGCTTGGGTTTATGTTAATTGCTCTTGTTCCTCCAATTTTTGGGTAAACCCGTGAGTTCCCTGCAGAATTTTCCTTCCATGCCGCCGGCTCTTCCCCAAATTGCAGCTCCGCCCTTGCTTGCTGGATTCTGGTATGTGGTAGCCTTTTAAGGCTTAAATTATCCATTTTGTTTGCTGCCTTGTGTGTCCGTGAATTGCTAGAAAATTGGGGATAATTCCGGTGCTTTAGGACCATGATTAAGCACTAATTCAAGTGAGATTTATGTGATTGAGTGTTAATTGCTTGTTGTGATTTTTGGAGAGAAAATCCCGTGAGATTAGCTAGTGTTTTGGCCAATTTGTGGAAGTCGGAGTTACTGTTCACGTCGGGGTCACTGTTCACCACACTGTTCACCGGTTACTGTTCACACCCGAGGGCCAACATTTAACGGGAATTTAAATGATTAGTTTGTGATATAAGAACGAATTTGGAGATATTTGATCATGTGGAGATCGATAGGAATAGCATTGTGATTAAGAGTGATCCTATTGATGATTTCAGTTTGAATGTGTGATAGTCCGGTATTAATTCTGAGGTGTTTTGATTAGGTTCCCGATCGTTCTGTCAGTTAGTACGTGAATTGAGTGCTCGGTTTTATGTGAGTGAGGTAAGTAAATTATGGTAACGCCCTTTAATTTTAAAAGCATGTTTTGATTTGTTTTTGAAGTGGTGGCGGGACTAAACCCGTTTTACACAAGCATGACTGATTTGAAGTGAAATGTTTATGTTTTTCATTAAATTGAGCATGCATACTTGAAAGTTTAAATGACTATCCTGATGATTTGAAAGTGATTGTGAATCGTGATTTTTCTGTTAACTTCTGTCTGTTTTGTCTCCGATATGGTCATGTTATTCGTGTGCCCGCTAGTGGGAGGTTTATAAACGCTAGCACATGTCGACATGTTACTGATAGAACCGATTCGTTTCTGTAACCCTACTAGTGGGGGTTAAACACTAGTAATTTCTGTAGCCTGCCAGTGGGAGGTTTATAACACTGGCCGTGACCTATAGAGGAGACGTCTATTTCGTGCCCGTACTGTATCTGTTTTCATGATTGTACTTGTTGGCATGCTTTTAAGTTTGAAAAGGGGCACTCCATATTTACTTACTGAGTTTATCTCATAGTTTTTCCTTGTCCACCATTTCAGGAAGTGAAACCGAGGACGGGAAAACCACGGGAAGTGACGAGTTAGAAGGCTAGCCACTTGTAAATTGAGCATAGCTTTAGATAAATCATGATCTTGTAAACCAGAGTGTATTTGGAGATCTTATGATATTAGAGAGAATTTTATAATTTGATCTTCAGATTTTGGTGGTATTAGAGTGTGATATGATAAGTTTCGAGCCTTGTGCATTCGTGGGACCCGTCTCACGAGTGTACGGCGTCTGTCGCGTCTCGAATTTGGGTTTTGGGGCGTGACAATACCATTATTGGCTACCCTTTCAAGCACATGAGGTTTCTCTAAAGGTGTAAAGAATTTACTAACATTCACATTTCTGATAATCATGCTAGATGA